TTGGAATTATGTTAGGGCAAGGTCTGCTCCCAAGAGCCTTCTCCAGGTTCCTGAGGCATCAGGTAATTTTAAAGTCTTTGTTCAGTCTTGATTTTGCATGTAGAAAGGATAAGAGCTGTAGTTTTCTTTCCCTTATCTTGTCTGAGGTGCAATTCCAATAGAAGTATCATTTAGGTGGAGAATTTTCTCTAATACAGATGCTTTCACATATGGCTTAAATTATCGGTAGAATTATTATCTATATAGGTAAATTTAGAATTAATTTTAGTTAAAGTTGAAATCAAAATACTTTGGCAAATGAACATAATTTAATAAAACTATTAGTTGGTGAATTATCCATGTTCAACCAATCAAAAGGCATCTTTAACATCATAACATTAATGTATAGCATTTAGTGTGCAAGGTTGGTAATTAAGCACGAGCGACTCCTCATTGACTGAGACTAGATCAAATTAGTTAAAATAGTAGAAGACCTAAACAATTTGAAGTGCAAGAGCACATCCACGTCTTAATAAAACATTGTCGTCTTGTTGGGTGGGGGGGGGGGGGGGGGGGGGGGTTGGGGGATAAAATGTCAACTTGTCAGAATAAAATTACAGATTTGTCCTTGTTTCTCTTTATTTATAACAATATCTTTGTTAATACATCAATAGTTTTATAGGATTTGTCCTTGCACATGAAGTCATCCCCTTATTGACTGAGTCCAACACGTGCTACCATTTTTTTCTCTTTTTTTTTTTTTATGATTCTATTTTTTCCAATATTAATATAGGATTTTTGGAGGTGGAGAAGGAAGAAATGAAAGGAGAAGCAGTGACTGTAAAAGAAGTGTTGGAGGCAATAGAGCAGTGCATCCAGACATTTTGGCTTTATATAAAAATAGATAAGAAAAGAACTTGGTGGAAATTAAATTCATTGCATCTACAAGTGGAGGACCCAAGAGACTTGGGGCTACATGCCGACCTCCATAGAAGACTCCAAAATGTAATTTCCTTTACAATTAAAGATTCTTGTATTTTTCTTCTTGTTTTTTCTTCTTGTTTTTTCTTGTCTTAGGAGTGTAATTCAAGGTTTATTCTTTTTACTTCTGCAGAAAGAACTCTGGTTGAAAGATTTACAAGGGAAAAGGAAGTGTTGGTTTAACAAAATTGTGAAGCCTGTGGAAGAGTCCCAAAGAAAGGAGCTTCTATTCACAATGATAGAAATGAAACTGGTATCCAGAGTGCTGCAGATGTCTCTGTTGTCATCTTCCCAACTCAAATGGTGCCAACAGAAGCTTGACACCATAGAGTTCAAGGAAGGGATGGTGTTCAGGGATTGCCCCACCGCACCCCTGCTATTTCCATCTTAAATTTTCTTTACTTTTTAATATAGTTCTTTAAAAAAAGAAGTGCTTTTTAAAGACTGCAAATGAAAAGTATAGTTTTGATATTAAAATTACTAAGTACCCTTAATGGTAATTTAGTAATTTAGCGACCAGATTGCATATAAAAAGTACTAAAATGTTTGTACAGTACCTGTGAATGTACAGTAAACCCAAGATAGATAACATAATTAATCTAATGTGCCTTCTTCTTTCTTTCCCAATACATCAATGTTTTTAAGCATACTTTAATTATTCCTTCACTGTCCACGTTCAGATTGATGAAAATTAGGTAACAATAATTAAAAAGAGATATTATTTATTAGACTTCCACACAAAACAATCTATATGTCATCTGATTATAACATTCTATATGTCATAGTATCAGAATAGGAAAAATGTTAAATATCACGCGGACATGCAACCAATCCCATACCTAGTAGTAGGAAACACAAGAAACAGTCCACTGCAAACAATTCCCACCATCAATGGAAAACTCTCCATCACCTGATCCATCTCCTTCTCATGACCTGGAAACACACAGTTGGTCACCCGGCGATCGGAGAACGCTATAGCCATGAACACCATCACAGACATCACCGCATGCACGAAATCTGTCACCCCAATCTTGTACCTATGTAATCATCAAGTCATCCATCCAGAATTTTGTTTAGCAAGGGACGTTAAGATAAACAAAAATTTAATAGGACTAAAGTGAAAAATCAAGCATAAATACAGTATCATTTTGTAAAATTTCTGTTTATTACTATATACCTGTCGTCTTTAGGAATCTCCACGTCGAGTCCCGGTTTGAACACAACCAGCCCTTTCGTCGTCACGAATCCGTAGTAGACCTTGCCGTCGGGTCCCCGAAAACTGTCGGTGAAGTGGAAGAAGAAGCAGGAGAGGGCGCAGAGGCCGAGGAGAACGTGGATCATCATTGTGTTGACGGAAGAGCAGTCGCCGTTGCGGTACACAGAGGGGATGACCATTTCGAATGTGAGGAGGGTGCCGGTGGGAAGGAAGTTGACAAGCATGGAAGTTTTAGAGATGGTTTTCTGGACTCCCTTGGCCACTGCCCGCCGCTTGTTGCCCGGTTGAGGAGGCAAGCGAGAGAGGGAGGGGTTTCGCGTGGGGCCCTCGGGTGGAGTTGCATTGTAGACTTTGATTCCGATCCCTTCTTCGGTTTGCTCCATTGTTTGATCAGAAAGAAGGGAACGAAGAGAAGGAATTATTTGTGATTTTGTTTCGAATTTAAACGAACTTTCTCCCTGTTTGAATTTGAAAATTGAGGCAGTTATTGGTGGTTGTCAAGTATTATCAACCGTAACCGGCGGCTCTTTTTTTCGTGTCTTCGCTGCTACACAAGAAATTAATTTTCTTCTGAATACACCATGATTTTTTTTTTTTACTAACCTCTGCACATTCAATAATTACATTGGATTCTAATTAATTCAAAATCGAATCACGTCAGACCCCATTCAAAAAAAATTCTTTCAGTACCTGTTTCTCTGTTTACAAGACTTGAAGTTGAAATTTTATTTAAGAAGAATCGAATTCTTTCCACTCAGACTAACAAATCGTTAGTATATACTATGTATTTCTTAGGATGATAAAAAAAATTAATTTTAAATATTATAATTACAAATATAAATATATATTTATAATATTATATAATATAATTTATTAAATAATTAATTTTTATTTAAAATTTTATTAATAATATTATATATTTATTTATAAATTATAATTATAAATTTACAATTTATATATGGTATGTATCTATTGCATCGGGGATTTTTGTTTTTTTTTTAACCAAACCTTTTATAAAGGGTTCAATTACCCAGTTGAGAAGGTAGAGGATTCATTTTCAATCGGCTTTAACGGTTGAGGACTACAACCCAAATTTTGGGGGGCTAAACCGCTAAATCCCAAGTCCCAACTGCTACCAGAACTTCCCTCTGTTCAATGTGTAAATCAAAATTTCTCTCCAGAAAGGGCCAATGCATCGTTCTACTGAAGCTCTGTTCTTCAATCAAACAGCTTTCCCAAATTCATGCCCAAATTGTTGTTTCTGGTCTCCACCAAGACAGCTTTCTCTTGAGCGAACTAGTAAGGTTTTGCTCGTTGTCTCCCTCCAAGAACCTGAGTTACGCGCGTTCTCTTCTTGTTAACTCTGTGAATTCAGCGCCCTCTTCATGGAACATGCTCATCAGAGGCTATGCTTCGAGCGATTCTCCCCAAGAAGCAACGTGGATATTTCAAGAAATGCGAAGAAGAGGCGTTGAACGCAATGAGTTAACGTACCCATTTGTTTTTAAGGCCTGCGCTCAGGTTTCTGCTGTTCAGGAGGGAATGCAGGTTCATGTGGAGGTTTTGAAGCACGGTTTGGAATATGATGTGTATGTTGGGAATAATTTGGTGCATCTTTATGGGTGCTGTAACGAGCTATTGCGTGCACAGAGGGTGTTCAATGATATGCCTGAGAGAAGCGTGGTTTCTTGGAATGCGATGATTACAGCTTGTGTAGAGAATGGGGGATTGGAGGAGGCACTTAGGTATTTTGTTAAGATGAGGGATTGTGGGTTTCATCCAGATGAGACCACAATGGTGATTGTGCTTTCTTTGTGTGCAGAGATTGGGAAATTAAGCTTAGGAATGTGGATTCACTCCCAAGTGATTGAAAAAGGTTTGGTTTTGAATTGTCAGTTGGGTACTGCACTTGTTGACATGTATGCAAAGTGTGGAGCTATCAATTATGCTAGGCTAGTTTTTGACAGAATGGAGGAGAAAAACGTATGGTCTTGGAGTGCCATGATTTTGGGATTAGCCCAACATGGGTTTGCTACAGAAGCCCTTGATCTTTTTTCGAGGATGATGAAGGATTCTTGTGTACGTCCAAACTATGTCACTTTTCTTGGAGTTCTCTGTGCTTGTAGCCATGCTGGACTGGTAAATGATGGATACCGCTATTTTCATGACATGGAACACCTTCATGGGATTAAGCCCATGATGACTCATTATGGTGCCATGGTTGATGTCTTGGGACGTGCTGGTCGTTTGAAAGAGGCTTACGCCTTCATAAAGAAAATGCCTTTTAAGCCTGACCCCATTGTGTGGAGGACATTGCTGAGTGCATGCAGTGTTCATGATATTGATGACAAGTATGGTGTTGGGGATAAAGTAAAGAAGAAGTTGCTAGAGTTGGAACCAAGGAGGAGTGGGAATTTTGTGATGGTTGCCAACATGTACGCAGGAGCTGGAATGTGGGACAAAGCAAAAAATGCGCGGAGGGATATGAAAGCTAGAGGATTGAAGAAGATGGCAGGTGAGAGCAGTCTTGAGTCATGTGGGACTATTCATAAGTTCTTTTCCGGGTGTGATGATTTTGATGGTACCTGTCATTTGCTAGATGTATTGAACTTGCACATGAAAATTTACCAATTTCATGTGATGGACCCTGGGGAATAGGTTTTAACTATTTAATAAAGTTTCCTTGATGTCAATAATTCTCGTCAAAAAAAAAAAAAAAAATTTGTTCGACAATTCTTTTTCATACACTCTCTTGCTTCCATATCTGGATTACTGTAATTATTGCTAATCAACTGTTTAATAGTAGATTGCAACAGCACTCCGTATGAACTTGAGACAATAGGTCATTTTAGGGAGCTAAAAAGTTTTAAGATCCTAGCCACGTCAACTCACTAGAAGATTATTGAGGCACTGCCTCGAGTACATAGAATTCTACATTTAAACATTCCCTAGAAGTTGCTATAGAAATCTACATTTAAACATTCCTTAGAAGTTGCTACATAGTCTAAAGTATCTTCCAAACACGCTGCCTTCATCAAAGAAAACATTTCCGCACTGAGCACAAAACTGCTATCTGCTCATCTGGCACTCGTGGATGAAAGTTTATATATTAACCCCATAAGAGATGTGTAGGTGCCGAATATCACAACGGCGACACTCATCAGTATTATGCTGACGGTGACTACCATATCGCAGCAAAATCTCTTGTAAGTTCCTGATATCTTCAAGTAACATAAGCAGGGCAGTATAATTGAAGCTGTGATGCTTAAGAATGCTCCAACCAAAGACATAAGATAACCGAAAAAAGGAAGAGCAAGAGCTACAACAGTAGTGCTGATCACCAAGGAGGTACTGACCAGGAAGCTACATGACTTCTTTTTGCACTCGTACGGGAACCAACCTTTAATGGCATTTACAAGTGGTGTAACCATCAGCGCATATTTGGCTATGGGATTGACCAGGGTGGTGTAGATTGCCACTCTAGCACTGAGCTTTTGGATTGGAAGGTCTAATGTTATCTGTGACTTGATGTTCGACCCAAACATCAGGTAGCCACAGATTGCCATTGAAGCGTAACACAGGGTGCACAAAATGAAGCAAAGAAGCATGACCTTCAATGAAAACAGAGAAAAGAAATCAGAAACCAAATTCAGAAATCTAGAAAACAGATCTGAAGGGTCAGAGTGCTACTACTTACATTGGAGAACTGGTGCTTCTTTTTCATGGAATTGTAAAGGGTAGGGAAGACTGGATGGGCGCAGTAACAGAAGGCATATAAACTGACAGCAGTAGGGATTCCACTCAAGTTTAGGAGTGTTCCCTTATGATGAAACCCAATTCCATCAAATGCACCGATCCAGATGATTGAACCTAGGATGATAGCCGAAGCTATAACCCCACTAGCAGAGATGTATGAAAGAAGGCTCAAATTATCCAGCCAAACAGAAGGCAAGATGATAAGGGCAACAATGATTATGAAGCCTTGTTTCCCACCAATTGTTAGTCCTGCAATATCAAATTCCACATTGGGTAATAGTTTTTGCAAATTATCTCCTTCCAGAATCAAGAACCCTGTTGCGAGAAAGTAGAGTTCAATATACATGAAAACAGAAGCAACAAGTCTCCCCTTGCTCCCAAAGGCACGTTCGCCAATGTCTGGGTAAGTTCTGATAACTGAATCTGCCTCCATACATCTTTGAATCAACAAAGCAGAGTAGAATGCTGCAGAGGCTATGAAGAAAAGAAGTATCAAGCTCAACCATCCTCCTGAAGCCAGTGCATAGGGGATTGACAGTATCCCAACTCCTGTACAAGCAGAGTTTGAATCAGTTTTAGATTTTTTCAGATTAGCTTCAGTAAGTCCTTAGAGTTGTAAAATAGTTAATATGAACAAACAAATGAAAATTCAAAAGAGCATAAAGTCTGGCACTACGAAAGACTATCATCACAAACATTTTACGTTTTGTGTTGATGCCAATGGCTAAGCAAGTATTTTGCAGTGAACATGAGCATGGAGTAACAGGAGATGCTCATGGAGCAGGGTAGAACTAACTAAATAAGGAAGTAAGTAGAACCTGACAAAGCATTAAGTCCATGGAAACAGGTAGTAAAAACAGATGTAGTGCTTGTTTTGAGACGACAAACATTTGATTCTACTTCCTCTGCCTCTCCTAGCAGGTGTGTCTTCTCATCAACAATGAGAGGAGCAGCCAAAGATGACGAATCTTGTGACCCAGCTTCCATAGTTCATTTAGAGAGAGAGAGAGAAAGGGGGTGGGGGTTGGGTGGTAAGATTTGGTTCACATCTAAAACTTGATGCAAATATATATAAAAGCGAAGAATTTATGTGGACTGTAAAAAGCAAACTACAAGCACCCAGAAGTCGGTTTATAAAAGCCAGACCATGGAAGCAAACTTTGCATCAAGAGACAAGATCATACAAGAAACTTAGTTTAACTGTTTTAGTATGCACAAGCTAAATAAGATACAACTTGACTGCAAAAAAATAAAAATAAGCAAAATAAATAAATAAAATACAAAATACAAAAAACCATATAAAATTTCTCCATTTTTCTCCATTTAACCATTCATTGTGTTAGAAATATTACATAATAACATTTGGTAGGCCTCAAAACATCTTTCATAACACAAAACTCATTATAACATACCATGTACACATCAAATACCAGAATGCCTTCAAAATTTCAAGCAAACTTTAACAAGGACCAACAATGCATTGAGTCTCCTAACTAGAACCTTGTAGATACTAATCCAATCTTTTATTTTTCAACCCAAAGTAAGATGCAAATTTAACTAGTTAATGGGTTCGAACAACCATTACACTAACACAATAAAAAAATGTTTTTTCTATGTTAAGAAAAAGTTCTATTCTTTCAACTAGGTAAATGAATTTGATAAAAAATGCATGGAATGTTTACTAACCACATGGCTAAAACCATGGCGAGTCAGCATTTTTACCCGTTAAAAAGAATATTCTAATAGACATACTACACGATAAAGATACAGCCATATAGGGCTCATTATTTCTCAAAGACTGGTAGGTACACGTTAAAGATATCATTGGTGTCCTCCACTGGATCCATACATAGGTGAATTATATGGGGTTATCTTCTTTGTTCCTTTTCCAATAAATAAGAGGACACGAATCCTTTCAGCACAAATATTGGTGTTGTTTTCTTTGCAAACTGCCTTCCAGTGGGAAAATGTTTGAATCCAAACAAGTTGTTTATGTAAACGAGAAAAACGTTTTGACTTTTCTACATTGTCGCGTATATTTTGTACACTTGTATTTTCACTGCAGACACCTTTGGAACAACCACCCATTATTATTTTAATAAAATTAATAAAAAAATTATTTAGTTTAATTAATATGTAATTTTTAAAAATAATTTATTTTAATATTTAATATATTAATTTATAAATGAATTTTAATATACAAATAATAAAAATTAATTATTTTATTAATCATTAATTATTTTTAACAAATAAATTAAATTAAATTATAAAACTTTAATAAAAGAACATGTGTGGACCTAAACAATACCGTAAGTGTCTATATCCGCAGCCCCTTTGGTGATGAAACTGTATGTTCCTCTCCAATGCACAGGACAGGACCCCATCCTGTCATGAATGGTCCACTTTTAAAGCTCACATGGTACCACTCAGGACCCCCCAGTCATGAGTGGTCCACTTTGAAAGCTGACGTGGTGCCACTCAGGACCCTCCAGTCATGAATGGTCCACTTTTGAAGCTGACATGGTGCTATTGACTATGTACCAAAATTTTGGATTACTTACCTACTTAATCAAAAAATGGGGGGAAAAGCAAGTTTTTAAAGGGAGAAGCACGATGTGGTTTTTCCGTGCCAAACCCGTTTGCCTAACAGGAATTATTCAGCTGCAACCATCACTGGCTTAAATATGCTGATTCATCTGTGAAACAAACCTGAAAATGGAACTTCACCAAGCGGTCTGGTGACTGTACGTCTTATTGAGGTTAGTGAGTTGTTCATCAGATTTGAAGATTGAATCCTTAGTTACTAACTTCTAACAATACTAATCTACTAACCATTATCCTTATAAAAAAAAAAAACCCTGAAAATGTCACCTAGAGATCATTTCTCATGGAAATTTGAATTTAAGCATATACTTTTTTATTAACATTTCGGTATTTGATCAACAACTTAAATAACTCAGTGATTTTTTTTTTTTTTTTGCTGTAAATAATAAGTTTTGAATTTGAGTCACATGATATGCAAGCGTAGTAGAATAAAAAATGAGAAATGATTACCTCTCATTATGCAACTAAAATAAAAATAAATATTATGATATCTAAAAATTATATTGGATCTTAATCAATTTAAAATCAAATCATATCAGATCTTATAAAAGAAAGTGCTCACGATGCTTATTTTTTTATTCATATAACTACAAGACCTTTTTGAAAAAAAATCAATTTTTTTTATTCAGACCAAGAAATCGGTAGTAAATCCCAGCATATATAACCTGTCATCATCCTCTCTTTCTTTTAATGTGATATTTGATGAGATATTCCACATAAAGTAAAGGATATACTGCAAAACAGGGTTATTAACGGGGAAAGTTTTAACATTAAGGACCCTCTTATCTAGGCACCTTATGGTATAGTAATTTAGGAATAATAGTTAGTGATTTTATTCAAATTATTAAGAATAAGTGTTTAATAAATTTTTATATTTACAAACA